ATTCATTTATTTTTTCATTTGCTTATTGTTTAATTTGTTCATTATAATAATCTTATGAGATATACATAGGAAAGGCTATAGTCATTTACTTCTATATAGCCAATCTACCAAAATATCTCATAAGTTGCACTTACTCTGTAAAACGTGAAGGCTCATGCTGGACATACCAGAGGATAGTTAAAAAAGTATTCCTCACCCTACCAGTTGAGTTTCATAACCAAGAGACAATTTTTGTATTTCCCAGCCTGTCTTTGCCAGTTTTTTCATAGTAAATTATATAATGTAGGTTATAAATAAATTTCAATGGAGTGCAAAAGGGAACAGTTCTTATTTGTAAGAAAACTAAGCTGAATGATCTAGAAAGATTCTCAAGAACTAAAAAGAATTAGTACGACTTAGACAACAGCAAGGCGACTTTGAAGAGTGGGAGGTATTTTGAGAATCTAGATGAATTTTCACTGTTTCACCCCAACATGAAAATCACAGGCAATGAATCATAAGCATTACTGTCAGGAGATGATGCAGAAGTCCAACCAGTGGGCTCCAAAAGCTTTGAATCTATATTAAAGACTGATGAATGAATATTTAAATTCTTTATGGTATAATACAATGTTTAAGGTACATATGCATTGTTTTACAATTTCCTACTTTAGCCAACTTTTTCTATTAACTAAAAACTATGTGTTCACAATATGTAGTATAAAAGGTCAATTTTCAATTCTCTTTTTACAAGTAAAATAAGACTCATCAAAGTTAAGTAACAGTCAAATACAAAGCCAGATTATAAATTCAGACTGTATATATATCCATATTTGAGTTGTATCTTCTGCTAGCAAAAATGTACCACAGTGCAATTACTAAAATAAACTACAGGCTACATTGAAAGGAATAGTATATTTAATATGTCTTTAATCTCATTGCTATCATTTTAAACCTTACCAAAAAGAAATTGTGAATAAAAATAGGAATACCATTATTGAGCAAGATAAAACCATAAAAAAATATAGGTTACAAGTGTGGGAACAGAGAAACCAGATGATCAGCAGTTTGGTGGTTACAAGTGATAGGAAACTGTATGTGAATGTTTGAAATGTATGTGCTTATGTCATGCCTTAGTATATTCTGAGAGACAGTGTAACAACAAGGAGTTTAAAAGGCAGGCTCTGAAATCAGATGACCTGAGTTTGGGTCTTGGCTCTACCATTTACTAACAGATAATACTGGTCAATTCACTTAATCTCCCTCTGTCTCAGTCTCCTCATCTATAAAATGAAGCAGATAATTCTTACTATATAAGGGCGTTTGTAGGATTCAATAAAATAATCCATGTAAAGAAGTCCCTGCCACACAGTAAACACACATTACTCACCAGCTAACACTGATGTGCCAGTGAGGGTGCCAACCTAATTGGTAACAGTATTCTTGGCATAGGGGCCAGTCTGCCCAGATTCAAATCCCAGCTCAGTTACTTAGCAGCTCTGTGAACTTGGGAGAAGTTACCCTCTTCGTGCCTCAAATTTCTCATCAGTAAAAAATACTCGAGCTTCATAGGATTATTATGAGAATCCAATGGGTTAATAAATATAAAGTGCCATTTGTAATATAAATGGCATATAAAGTGCTGTAATATAATCAATGTTAGCCACAATTTTGCCATTGTTGGCTTTTTGGCTACATAGAAAACTGCCATTTCTCAGAATATCCAGATTTTTTTACATCACCGTGGTCACTTTAGCTCTATGCGTCTCACTCTGTTTGAGACACTCAAACAATTTAGTTTCTACCACAGGACTCAAGTAGTTTAGTATTTAAAACAGATAAATCACCAGTGCCAGCTAGCAGTGAGCTGCTAATAAATTCACCAAATGAGGAATGTTGCTCAAAAGGGATTTATACAAATATAAATTCATTAAGACAAACAATCTAATGTAGTTTGAAATCTGTGACAAACTAAATATAGTGTAGTCTGAAAACTATGACTATTTTAAATAGTTTTAAACTAACAAAAATTGTATATATGTGTGGTGTACAATATGTTTTGATATATGTATCATTATGAAACAGGTAAGTCAATCTAATTAATGTATCTAATACATCAGATACCTATTTTCATGGTGAGAACATTTAAATCTCCTTTTCAGCAACTTGCAAGTATACAGTATGTTGTTACTAAGTTACCACGTTGTACAATAGATCTCCAAAACTTATTCCTGTGTAACTAAAATTTTGTATTATTTAACCAACATCTCCACAATCCCCTTCCCAGTCCTCAGTCCCTGGTAACCACCATTAACTCTGTGTTTCCACGAGTTTACTGTTTAAAATTCCACCAGTAAGACCATCCAGGTTTTTCTCTTTGTGTTTGGCTCATTCTACTTAGTATAATATACTTCAGGTTCTATGTTATAGCAAATGACAGAATTTCATTATTTTTAAAAGTTGATTTTTATTTCATTGTGTATATATTCAACATTTACTTTATCCATTCAGCCACCAATAGACACTAAAGTTGACTATGTATCTTAAAGTAATGCTACAATGAACATAGGAGTGAAGATATCTCTTTAACATATTGATAACATGTCACTTGGATATATATACAGAAATGGAAATTTTAGATCATATGGTGTGCTATTTTTAATTTTTTGAGGAACTGTCATGCTGTTTTCTAAAATGGCTGTACCAATTTACCCTGTAAACCTCAGTGAGCAGGGGTTCCTTTTCTCTATATCCCCAGCACTGACCTCATTTTCTTGATAACAGCCATCCTAACAGGTGTGGGGTGATATCTCATTGTGGTTTTAATTTGCCTTTCCCTGATAATTACTAATGTTGATCATTTTCACATACCTGTTGGCCATTTGTATGTTTTCTTTTAAGAAATGTTTTTTTAAGGTTACTTTGTGTAGAATGGACATTTTAAGAATTAATATTGTGATATGGTCATATAGCTATTAAAATGTCATACAAACGCCAAGTGGAGAAAACTTCAAAAACTGCAAACTATAAAAAGATTGCATGATAAATACGGTACCAAAAAAGAGACTCATTTTGCGTTAGTCAAACAATTGAGAAACACTGTTAAAATTTTTTGGACAGATTTGTGATGTTAATAAACTTCTAATCTTCTCTAGACCTCATTTTCCTATGATATAAGAGTGTTGCATGTGTTCAATTTCTTTTTTTAGTATTAAATGTAAGTGATACTATCGCTATACTAACTTTAACATCATTAATCTAAGCATTATCTGTCAGAGCATTTTTCTCAAGAGAAACCTGTGATAGCTTCTAAGACTCTTATCAACTTGATGTTTTTTGTCAGTGAAGCTATATTGGAGGAAAAGAATTAGAAGTATTATTTTTTGGCATAATTTAAACAGCACAAAAGTTATAACATATGCTAACATATTATATTGTTAGATAAAGAAAAAATATTTTATAAAGATCCCATATAATAGCATTATATAGCTTTACTTTTTGCATACCACAAGATTGTTAATCAAAGCTTCCAGAGCTCAAAACTACAAAACTACTGTAACCTATACCATTCCTGCAGTCCTCATTTTGCACAGTTTAAATATGCACAAATTTCAAAACCACACTTTAACGAAATAATACTAGTCCTGCAACAACACAGTTCAAATTCTTAGTAATTATACAAGAGCTCCTAGCTCTTTAGTCCACAAATCACTAAAAATAACAGATGAGATGATGATCAGAGACCAGTCATACACTTCTTTCAAATGATTGGTCACTGCACATTTGTAATCTTCAAACATACACAGCAAAGTGTGTTTTCTCCATGTCCCCCAGAGATAAACCCATATGATATTTTACAAAAGTGAATAACAGACAGAGGGGATTTGCCTATAAAAATAAAAGTATAGCAAAGAAACAAAATGCGATAATGCTGGGATGGAAACTGGATGTGGGTAGAAGATCTGAAAATGGTAACAGCAAACAAAGACAAGAGAAACCTAAGCCTGCATGAAGTGAAGGTACGAACGATGTTGAAAAAGTCTAATGAACATAAAAAAACAAAGTCATAGGATTCTAATTTAATGTAAATGGAGTTGTTGGAGAAATAGCTGACCATAGAATGTTGACATTGAATCCTTTGGAAAGATGGTTACACAGCCAGGGGAACTTAATGAAGGTGAAGTCATCACAAAAATGAGGAAAGTGATAGGAACAAAAAAGACGACGTCTCAGAGGAAGTGATACCAACATGTAACTTCACACTGACGTTTCTTTAAATGTTAAGGAACTCTCAGAGAAATTACATAACATTGAAAGTACAATAGACAAAATACTGGGAGCTAATCTAAATTAGCTGGGAGCTAATTTAAAATACTGGGAGCTAAAAAAACGCTGGGAGCTAATCTAATTCCTTTGAAAGGAATATAACAGTTCAATTCACCAAAGCATAGTAAAGATGCTCATTCCATCTGATATTAGAGAATTAGAAGGCAAACACTGCTCTAACTACTTTTGATAAGTTTATGCAAAGAAATCATACACTTTATTTCTCAATGTTTCTAATTTCTAAATTACAGTGTACTAAAAAATATTACTTTAGTTTTACTAATTATTCACTTGCCTATACATTTATGAACCACAATCTCTGTTTGAGACACTCAAACAGTAGGAAAGATTTTAAAGCTTTGATAAAAGGTTTTAAAGGCCACAAAAAATTGTTATTTTTACCTTTGATTATTACGATCACATTACCTGGCTTCCTCTTACATCGTCATTTTTAGGGTCCCACACTACTGTGCAAAGCAAGTAGTACATGTATTGCCAATACCTAAATTTTAGCTTCACAGATTTTGTCAATGTAAGCACAAATCATTCAGAAACCACTATTACACTTATTGCTACTTTAATAGTCCCCTTCTGAATGTGTTTCATAAATTACTTATAGTATCATGATATGATGCTGAAAGATGCCCTCTGTTACTCTTTTAACAAAACCAGATATAGAGAAGAACATTAGGTACCTGGCAGTGGTAACTGAACTAATATACCACTGACTCTTGGGTCCATATTCAATTGATCAGTTATGTCCAAAAGCTCTTCCTGAGAAACATCCTTAGGTTTCAGAATGAGCTCACTACAAATACCTAGAAGAAAAACAAGCAGAGAAGGTCACTTGACTAACTGAATATGGTTTTTCATCGACAGTGTCTGACACAGTGTGGGACTGTTCCTATTGGGATGAAAGGTTCTGATGTTTAATGCATCATCAGGAAGGATTTCTCCAATAATACAAGTGTATTCCCTTGATTCACATGCATTCTTTGGCCTGGAATGCCAGGTGACAACTTGTACTTGTTTGAGATAAGCTACTATTAGTAGATTAGAAGAGAATAAAAATATCACTAGCACACAACTAATTAGGCCAAGTTTAACAGAGTGAACAAGCCAGGTTTATTATTTGATTAAATCAAATATAATGAAAGCAAGCCTTTTAGATGTATTCTTTGCATTTTTTCCCATAGAATATAAAACACACTGAATTAACCCTATACAAGTTTTGAAGAAACATCAAATGAAATTAACATAATGTTTAGTAACTGAATAATCTTTAACAATAATACATGTAATTCAAATGGTACTTATTAGATAATTATCATTCATAATTATCACAATTCAAACTAAAAACAGAAAACATATTTAGTAGCAATTACAACTACAACACATACCCACCTACAGCAGACGCAGCTCTTATCTTATTCCTGACGTATGTTTTGCTTGCTGGATTATCTCCCACTAAAATTATACTGAGGTGAGGTCTTCTGTTTCCAAGGGAAATCCATGATTCCACACCTTGCTTTATTTCTTTCTGGATATGCTTAGCCATTTCGGTTCCTGATATAATAATGGCTTCATGTCTGTGGAAAGCAAAACAATAAATATAATACTAAAAAGAAAATAAAAAATATTCAACTGCACAAATTTAAGGTACAAAAATGAACAAAACAACCATGATTCTCCAAGCACCCCAAATTTGATTTTTTTTTCAATTAATGTGACACCTGCTCTTCAGGTTTATAAATATTTTATAATTTTGTGAATGATTTAACCTCTGTTATTTAGTTCTACAATATAACCTATCTGCTATAGAATAAATGTGTATGTCTCTTCAAAATTCATATGTTGAAATCCTAACCCCAAATGATATGATATTAGGAGGTGAATCCTTTGGGAGATGATTATATAATGAGGATAGAGCCCTCATAAGTGGTGTTACTGTCCTTTTAAGAAACTCCTGAGATCTTCCTCATGCCTTCTGCCATGTGAGGACATAGCACGAAGACAGCTATCTATTAACCAAAAAGCCGGCCCATACCAGACACTAAACCTTCTGGTGTATTGATATTGGACTTCCCAGCCCACAGAACAATGAGAAGTAAATTTCTGGTTTTTTATAAGCCAACCAGTCTCTGATGCTCTGTTACAGCAGCTCAAATAGACTAAGACACTATCTCCAGTGTATGTTTCTTCACAATTTTTACTCAGGTATTATACATATAACATATATATTATACACATACATGCATACAAATGTATATACATATACATATATATATATATTCATATAAATTATCAAACTACATACTCAAGATCTAGACTATATTATTGCCTAAATTTAAAGTTCTGCCATTTTTTCTAAAGAGGCAGATCAGCACAGCCCAGTTTAAACTGGCAACAATCTTGAAGACTGGGCTCCATTGTTTATCACAGGGCCGCAGAGTCTTGTGACCCCTAAGGCAAAATCAGTTCGTTTTTGGTTAGCATATCCTGTACAAGACCCTGAAGTCATGAGCTTCATACTGAGGGAATGTATTCTCTCCCCAGGTCCACAAGGGGGCGCAATTTCAAGGGCAAGAACTTGCAGCGCCATACCGCCCCACTTCTCCATCCGGGAGCTTAGAGGTCTTTGTTTGACTTTTGGGAAGATAGACTGCCTGGAAATAGAGATCAATCATTCTAGCGGAAGTTTGAAGGAACTCCTCTCATAGGACAAAAAATTTGAATGGGGCGGGAGTAACTCCCAGGTTAAATTCCCCTGCGCTTAGCCTGCAGGGACTCCATCTTTCTGGATTGCCTCTCACTCAGTGTGAGAACTGTTTTTGACTTTTCTCTCTCTCTCCCTCTCACTCCTTTTTCTCTCTCTATCTCTCTCTCTCCCTAAAATAAATCACTTTGCTATAAAACTTTTTGTGTCTGGTATTTACTCCAAGGAGCTCACCTTCGCCGACAGGGTCCACTCCCCCATTCTTGAGCGAGTGTGAGACCCAAGGACCTCAGGCATACCTAATCAGGGAGGGAATAGGGCCATTGTCCCTCCGGTAACAGTGTCCCCTTCGGTAACAATACTACACAGCTCTTTAACTTACTCAAAGAAAAATAATATTCCATGGCCTGAGGCCAACTCCCTGACAACAGCTGTGAATCTTGCCATGCTTGTCACTGATTATGGTGGGTAAACAGTTTAGTTGCTCCCCAATGCCATGGTGTCATTGCTAATGGAAAAAGTTTGCATTTGCTTCCTGGCAGTTTATTTACTTCCTGGCAGTTAATAGGTATTTTGGAAGGTAAGAAGTGCTATATTTTGATAGATGACATAAACTATCTCCGGAAAGGCACAAAGAAATACTTTCTAGAAGGCCTTTCTAGTCTCTATGACCTCAAACTTAAAAGTGGTGAATTATGTTGCTCTTACTATGTGTTTATTTTTTTAAAGCTTTCTGATAAAGTAGAAGGTGGTCCCTTCTTCCTTCTGGCCCTGTCCTATTGAAAGACCTGGTGAAAATATGATTACTAGAAAAAGCATCAAATGTAGGTTAATAAATATTATGAGGAAGAGGAAAACGAGAAAGAGTAAGAAGCAGAGGAGAAAGAGGAGGAGGAAAGGAAGTCCTTATAAACCTTAATTCTTTGTAGTACCTGTACACTTTAAATTTTCTAACAAGGGTAGGTGCCATAAATATCAGACAACACACAAAATGCAAATTTTCCAAAGAAGTCAACTGCTCTATCTAGTAGGTGTGTGGACATATAGGTAGAATCAGATCAAAAATACACCATTATAGCATGGCACCAGTTGTCCATAGCATTTATCTCAGTTCATGCAATTTTGATGTAAACAATGTTCTGCTAAGAAGCAATTCCAAATGTGGCCTATGGATATACACATCAAAAACTGCCTGAACTTGCAGACTCCGAGACCCCACAACCACATCTACAATTCAGAATTCCTGGGGGTTGGGGAGGGGGGTGGCTGAAATCTGGAAATCTGCATATCTAATAATTTTCTACAGGTGATTCTTGTGTATGACCACATTTGAAAAACACTTTAATTGAACATAAAAGTGTATTCTAATAACAATCATAATTTATGAGTAAATGAGCAAACTGGTCACACAATACACTCAGAACTAGACATTCTAAGTGAACTCTACTTTTAATTCTAATTTTGTCTACGATTCATTAAAATTTTAGTAGCTTTCAAGACATTAAATGTGATGATGGATTCAATATATCGATCTTGTTCTGCTGTCTTATTTCTGTAATAAGATTTATTCAGTATAATTGTTACATAAAAATGACATATTTAAAGTATACAATTTGATAAGTTTTAATATTTGTATATACCTAAGAAATCATCACTATACTCAACACAATGAACATGTCTATCATTCACAAAACTTTCCAGGTGCACCTTTAAAATTTCACCATTCCACCTGTGTCTGCCAGATTCCACTCCTCCACTGACCATTCCAGGCAACCAATTATCTCTTTTGTTTGCTTTATATTAGTCTGTATCATCAAGAATTTTATAAAAATTTAATCAAATAGTACATGCTCTTTTTTAGCCAGCTACTTCCACTCAGCATAATTATTTTTAAATTAATTTCATGTTGTTGCATGTTTGAACGGTTCATTTCTTTCTGATCGCTGAGTACTATTACACTGTATGGATATAGCAATATTTGTTTATTCATTCAATTATAATTATTAATGGATACTTGGGTTCTTTCCAGTTTCTGATCATAAAAAATACAGCTGTTACAAACATATGTTTTATACACATATGCTTTAATATATTTGGGGATGGTGGGGGACACAGTCTCACCCTATCACCCAGGTTGGAGTTCAGTGACAGGATCTCTGCTCACTGCAATCTCCGCTTCCCGAGTTCAAGTGATTCTCATGCTTCAGCCTCCCAAGTAGCTGGAATTACAGGGATATGCCACCATGCCTGGTTAATTCTTATACATTTAGTAGAGACAGGGTTTTGCCATGTTAGCCAGGCTGGTCTCAAACTCCTGGCCACAAGTGATCTGCCCCTCTCAGACTCCCAAAACGCTGGGATTACAAGTGTGAGCCACCACTCCTGGCTGCTTTAATTTATTTTGAGCAAATAGCTCAAAGTGGAATGGTCAGGTCATATTGTAAGTGTATGTTTAAATATGCTAAAAACTGTTAGGCTCTTTTACAAAGACACTGTACTGCTTTGCATTCCTTCAAACAGTGTATCAGTTCTGGTTGCTCTATATTCTTGTCATCACTTGGGATGGTCAGGTTTTAAAACTTTTGACATTTTAGTGGACACATGGTGGTATGTCATCGTGCTTTAAATTTCCATTCTCTTAATGAATACTGATGTTGAACATCTTTTCCTATGTTTATTTACCATCTGCAATCTTCTTTGGTGAATTAAATAATTAGAGTTGTTGCCCATTATTTAGTATATTGTTTCCTATTTTGAATTTTTAAAGTTCTTTGTATATCCTATATTCAAGTCCTTTATCAAATATGGGATTTGAAATATTGTCTCCCAGTCTGTGCTTTGCCTTTTCATTCTCTTGCATTTTTAGAACAGTTAATTTTAATGTACTCCAATTTATCAATTTTTCCTTTTATGGACAATGTTTTCAGTGTTGTATAAAAGAAATCTTTGCCTAACTCAAGGTCACAAAGGTTTTCTCCAGTGTTTTATTCTAGATGTTTTATGGGTCCAAGTTATGCATTCAGTTGTATGATTGATGTCTATTTTTAGTTTGGTTAGAATTTGTATGAGGATATTGCCAAATGTTGTTTATGTCTATTGTAATGATCATAAGGTTTCCTCGGATGTTAGTCTGTTAATATGGTAATTGATTAATTTTCAAATGTCAAACCAATCTTGCATTCCTGGGATACATCCCACTTGGTCATTATGTACCTAACCTTTCCAGAAATTGTGGATTTCATCTGAAATTTTGTTAAAATTGTTGCATCTATATGCATAGGTGTTTGTAGTTTTCTTTTCTTACAATGTTATCATGTAGCTTTGATACCAGGATGATGCTGGCTTCATAGAATGAGTTAGGAAGAATGCTATCCTCTTCAAATTTCCAGAAGAGTGTGTAAAGAACTGGCATTTTTTTCTTTCTTAAATGTTTGGTAGGATTCACCCATGAAGCTATCTGATTCTGGTGTTTTCTTTTGGAGAAGGTTTAAACCTACAAACTTAAATTCTCTCTAGAGAGATATTCAGGTTATCTATTATTCCCTGAGAGATTTTTTGTAGTTTGTGCTTTGTACCTTCCAATAATTTGTATATAATTATAAACAAGTTAAAATAAAATATAACTTGTAAGGTTTTTATTTTTCAAAGGGAAGTAACAAACTCACTGTTTCCTATGAATTTCTGGTGAGGATGTTTTATGAATTCACTTAAGTAGCCTTTTGGCACTAATATAATAAGGACCTTGTATATTAGCAAATACTATTAACTGCAGATACAAACATATTCCACCATGACTCATTTATAAGTAGTAGCAAAAAAAAAAAATACTTTCCATAAATCAATTTGTGTCAGCAATATTTTCTTAGGGTAGAACATTATTATAGAAGCAGATTTATCTATTTAATAAAAAAAAAAAACTAGAAGTCACCTAACATAGTAAGCAATATACATTTTATTTTAAAATATAACAACATCTGAACTTTGTCCTGCATTTTATAGCGTGAGTAGCGATGCTACTGCTGACATATTATTGATTGATTCACTCGCTATTAAACATAATAGTTTGTTCACATGCCACTGTGAAGCTGGCAATCACTGAATATAATTCAGGCTAATTATGACCTAGATAGTACAAACCTGTGTGACCTGGAGAGTGTCAGAGAAGACCAATAGCATAAACTGATTCCCAGACTTCAAGGAGACAAACTGTATATAGATTAAACTTAACTGTACCTTGTATACCCAGGTCTAAGACTCTTCAGGGTTTACCTCAAATTATAGCACTGAGGTGCTAAGTTGGCTTGCTAACTAATTATAGCAGTGATACACTCTGGCTAGCTGGTGTTTACGGGTAAATTCGGAATTATGTCTGTGAGCATTTTCAGTAGCAACTGGCCCCTCCAATTGACTCTCTCAGTCACTGCAGAGATTCAGCAAGCCTAGGCTCCGTAGGAGTCACTACAAGAGGCAAAATGAAGCAACCTGAAATTAATGCAGGTTCAATGGGAGAGTGCCTGTATTGGTTCAACTAGTGCTGGAAAAACTAGTCAACTCACACATTCTCATTACTTTAGTGCATAAACAAATGAGATTTTTGAACATGAAAATTGTTGAAAAGCTAAAAAAGTTAAATAGCAGCAACAACTCAAATGTTCAGCCACTGAATAACACAGCTCCTAAAATTCTTCTCTTGTTGTCTTGATCTCCTCTAATGCATTTTCCATACTGCAGCCAGAGTAATTGTTGTTTAATTATGTCACTCCCCACCACATGCTCATTGTTTATTAACTGAATAAATACATATTGAAAGTCTCCCATGTGCATAGAACTATTTTAGGCAATGGGAATATAAATAATAGGGCACAAAACAATTGCCTACTTTTATGGAAACTATATTCTAGTAGAAGATATAAGTAAATTGAAAAACAGCAAGTATTTAGTATATCATGTGTGACTTGAGGCAGAGAAAGGACTTCTCTGAAAGCCAGAATTATTTTATATAGGTGGGTTAAGGTATCACTTCCCTGATAAATCAGTTGACATGTGAGCAAAAATGAAGGAAATCAAATAAATCATGTAGATTTCTGAGAGAAAAGCATTATAGGCCAAGGGAAGAAAACAGCAAGTATGGGGGCCTTGAGCAAAGAGCATACCTGAAATCTTTGAGGAATAGCAAGAGGCCAATGGCTACAGTGAAAAGACCAAGGGAACCAGGATAAGACATGAAGTCAGAGAAGTAGTGGGACATCAGATTATATAAGGCCCTGCAGGCCTTGGAAAGGATGTTGGCTTTTATTGTGAGTGAGATAGAAAGCCCTTTAGAGATTCTGACATGACTTTCATTTTTAAAGTAACTGGTGAAAATATGGAGGATAAACTCTGTGAGATCAAGAGTAGAAGTGGAGACTCCAGCTAAAAAGCTAGTGTCGTATAACAGGCAACAGACAATGGGGAGTTAGTCAACCGGGTAGCAGTGGAGGTGCTAAGTAGTCTGATTCTGAATCTATTTTGAGAGTGAAACCATTGGGATTTACTGAGATTGGGTGTATGATATGGAAAAAAAAAAAAAAAGACATTAGGCAAACACGACTCCAAAATTTTTGAACTGAGAAATTGGGGGAATAATTTTAACTAAAATCCAAATTCCCTATGGCTTACAAACTTCTGCATGAGCTACTTTAACCTCACTGATGAAGAACACTGTGATCAGTGAGTCCCACAGTACACGCCAGTCATATTTTAATTCATGAACTGTACCATGTTCTCTCTGGGCCTTCACATACAATATTCCCTCTGCCTGAAACGCTCCTTTTTCTCACCCCTCCAACTACCTTGCCACGTCTGTCACACACATTCCTGAAGTCTCAGCTTGTGAAACACTCTGGGGTCCCTGGGGATAGGCTTGGACCTGAATTCATGGAGGCTGACCTGGTACTGGGGTAGGCTTAGAGTGTGGGTCCATGAGTTTGTACCTGATGCCTAAGTCTGCAGAAGCTAAACTGGAATCTCTGGGTGCTGCTCTGGCATTAGTACAGGCCTAGAGCCTAGGTCTATAAGGATTGGCCTACAGACTGTGTCTGTGGGGGCTGGCTTGGCACTGGGAAGGGCAATACTGTTGCCTGTTTTTCAAAAGTTGTTGGAAATAATTAATCAACATATTCAACAAGTAGATCAAACGGGGGTAGAGGCACATTCAGATTTAAAGTTTTTAGTGAACTGTAATCAGTGAAACCAAAGCTTACAAATAGAAACGTTATCTCTTCAAAAGGAAGGGAAGAAGGGAACTAATTAAAAACTAATTAAAAAAATGATAGCTCAAACAATGCACAGGTAATTTTGATTTCTACCCTTATAAGAGAAGAGACACAGAGACACACATACACACAGACGGGAAGTGAAATCTCAGAGGGAAGACAACCATGTGACAAGAGAGACAAAGACTGGAGTTATGCAGCTGCAAACTCCTTAGGAACATCAAGTACTGCTGGCAATAACCAGAAGCTAGTTGACAGACCATGTGCCTATAATTACTTTGTTTCAGACTTCTAGCCTCCAGAAGTGTGAGAACAGATTTCTGCTGTTTCAAGCCACCTAGTTTGTGGAACTTTGTGTACAGCAGAAATAGTAAATAAATACATCTATACTCATAATTTTAAATAGTCCAATTTCTGAGAAGACTCGATGGAGCTCATATTTTTTGTTGAATAAAATTTCATTGAATAAATTACTCTTTTGTAACATAATGGAATATAATTGAGAAAAACTTTAATGTTCCTATATCTAAATTTGGCAAACTATTTTTAAAATCATACACAAAAACAACTTATTTGATGACTTTTATCTAAGTATTCATCACAGAAAAGTACTTTGAAAAGATACACAAAGATAGCACCTGTGAAAATATTTAGGCTAAAACACCTTCCCATTTCAATGTGGAAAAAAAAGTAGAATTAAGAGTATTCCATTTAGCAGAGTTTACATGGTACTTCAGTATCTATAGAGACAGTAACTTTAAAACTAAAATAATGATTATCTAAAGCAAAGTTTCAATTTGGAACTGTTAAGAAAGTTGCAGAAAATTTAATTTTAAAATTAAGCATAAGGGCTGGGCGCGGTAGCTCACGCCTGTAATCCCAGTACTTTGGGAGGCTGAGGTGGACGGATCACAAGGTCAGGAGTTCAAGACCAGCCTGACCAAAATAGTGAAACCCTGTCTCTACTAAAAATGCAAAAATTAGCCAGGTATGGTGGCACATATCTGTAGTCCCAGCTACTTAGGAGGCTGAGGCAGGAGAATGGCTTGAACCTGGGAGGCGGAGGTTGCAGTGAGCCAAGATGGCAGCACTTGCACTCCAGCCTGGGCGACAGAGTAAGACTCCATCTCAAAAAAAAAAAAATTAAACATAAGATCTTATTAACTTTTTTCAGAAAACTATCAGTATCAAGGTGTTAAGAGATAAAGCTAAGAAGCTGATTCAAGTATGTGAATATGCACCAAGAATAATTATTCATGCTGAATATTCATGTAATATAAATTTTTATTTTGTTTTAACATATCAGGATATAAATTATCTTTAAAATGTTAATTTTGAAAATGGTTTGAATGAAAATTTTATAGGTTCACTAATATATTTGTAAGCCAATAAATATTCCAAATATATCATTTTCATTACATTCATGCCCCTTTTTACTCTAAAGCAGGTACTAGTTTGGTCAAAAAAATTATAAATTGAACTTGCCATTAATGTTTATCAAAAATGAAATCCATTTGACCCCTTAGATACTGTTTACATGATGTGCCCTGTTATTACTTGCTCAGGTGATGTTTTCTACAAAGGCAGAAACAACCTTCCCCCAAAGAAGGCAGGAAAAGGAGCGCTCCCTTCCAATAGCCTATTTCTGGGCTAGTAACTAAATGTGGCTTCATCAGGAAGCACAAATTAAAGGGAGGTGGTGGCTAGTGAGTAGCAGGGCAGCACTATGAAGTATAAATTACTCACCTGAAATCAGAAGTCCTGAGCATCAGAGCTCTGGGTCACCATTAGTAGCAATTATAAAGTTAGGCAAGTCACTTAGCTGCTCTCAAAGGCATGCAATTTCTTCATCTAGATAATAGGAATACTCTTTTGTTAACCTCACATTACATAAGAGAATCTGGCTAAAAGTTCATTGGCTGGTTCGTAAAAGTGGCTCTCTCTCCTAGTTTCTAAATAACAGATGATGACATATTCAGATAACCAGGAGCATTATAAGAGCAGAAAATCTTTAGTACTTAGTGCTCTTTCCATGGATTTGTTTACCTGTACTTCCAGAAAATAAACTAACCACCTTAATCTACGCTTACTAGAACCAAATGATGTACTTAATAAAGTAGAGCAAAGTAACAAGGCGGGGATTATTACCATGTATCAAAGTACTCCTCCACAAAATAGTAATGCAACAACAAATAAAACCTAGTCAAGATCAGTAGTTTATTTAATTTGTATACTTCACAAATCTACATCTTAGTTTCAATCTCATCTTTATTCACAGCTTCAACTAGAGCTTAATGAACTATTTTGGGATCCATAAAGATGAAAAATCCTAATATGATGATTAACAATTCCAAGCTCTCCCCAGGCCCTAACATACAGTTTAATTGCTTTATATCTTGGGGTATACCTTGGATATCTTGAGTTTGTACAACAGAAATGAAACCCAAAGAAACCAGGACAAAATTCCATAAAGAATAAAACAAATCACCAGTATAGCGAGTCTTTTGAGGTGCACTGCTAAAATAAATGAATACATATAAGTGCTAAGTTTATGGCCTCCTTAAAACAATTTGTTTCACACCCCAAGTACCCTATTCACATCTTGAAGTAATTTTACTAGAAATTACATTTGCAAATCAATAAAAAGTAAAATAACTCATTTTCCTTATGTATGACTCTTCTTGATATTCAGTTTTTTAACTAGTTAACTCTTTCTGACTCTGTAGTATTAAACATATCCATGCATTTTCAAACTAACTTTGTCGGAAAGAAGCATAGATGCTAAGCTTTGTGCTGCAAAAGCTCTTGGCCTGTCTGTTGAAACCCATGGACTCCTCAGAACAATCCTTTTAAACATTCAATATAAATTACAGATTACAAGGAAAACCAGTTTTACTGAAATACTATCAAATGCTTTTTTTTAAAAAAAAAGTATGAAATAACAGGATCTAGTGGTAGGTCTAACTACAATATCAAAATAGTGATGTACAGTTGATGTTTTGTGGTATCTGCCTCAACTTTGTGATACTGAAATATTTGTGATTTATATTAGCAAGTCACATGTACTGCTGATACTATGTTTGTTGCCAACATTGACAACTGAAAAAAAATGCTAAATTTATTAGATGTTAGTAACCTCCCATCCATGTTTATGGATCCCCTGAATTCTATACATAAGGTCCGAGTTAAGAACATCTCTGAGGGAATCTAACAAAATAATTTCTAAAATTTACATGTAAAATTAGCTTTCTAGATTCACAAAAGTTCTATGAGATTTAATGTTAATAAATGTTTTCAAAAACAAGAAAAAGCAAAAGTGAGATAAGTAAATAATTATAAGCTGTTTGTAGAGAAGAACACTGGAGAGATCATGTGGGTTCACGCCTTGTCTTCACCATTTATTTACTATGCCAACTTGGACAAGTTTAATTTCTCTAAGCCTCAATTTCTCAATCTGTTAACTGGGAATAGTAATAGTGTTTACTTCATTTAGTTGTTGTAAGGATCAAAGGATATAATGTAAGTGAAAAATCTCAGCAAAGTGCTTAACACTAAGAGCTCCTTAGATATTAATAAAAATGTATTTTTCAACAATACAACTGAATTCCTTAAAAGCATGATGGTATTCATTGCAGTTAATCACAAATGGGGGGGGGGAAGCTAGGGAGACAACGTGTTGTATACACATACACTCACTTTAGAATTATGAATCTTTAGATAGTCTTTAGATCTAGGGACACTCTAATGAGACTAATTATAGAAACCTTATGTACGGTTCATATGACTAAGTGAGCAAACCTGGTTGGTATGAGGTTGACAAGAACATGACCTCAATCTGAGAGTAAATTATTACATGTTTTCTAAGAACTAAACATTAAAAAGCAGCAAGATGGTTAGGTAAGTTAAGGCCAATTGATTTAATGTAGTATGATGCAGTCATTGAAATCTAATAAAAACAATAGCAACACAGAAACTACTTATGATGTAATGTTAAGTGGAGCAGCTGGCTAAGCCTTCCTGGATAATATCCCGCCCTGAATTCTTCAACACTACTGTTAATTTAGGTTCAGATTGTGTTCTATTGTGACCATAAAGTTTTCTACCTTGCACACAAAATGTTTTCTCAGGTCCCAACTGAATTTCTTAAAAGCAAATCTCATTTATTACTAATCATTTCTTCAATTTAGTATACTTATTTACAGTTCAAATTTCACATAAGCTCCTCTCCTAAACCTCCTTCCACAACTTAATTATCTGTAAGCCAAACTGTAATTTCATTGAGCTCCATGGGATTCATTGAAAGAGTATGTGCCCATGAAAAGATCATCTGGTGTTGCTCCTTTCTGCTGTTTTCATCCTCCCATCAGAATATTAACATGAAAGAATAAGGCATTTGAAAAACAAAGATTTGGGTAATTTTAACTAACAAGATCTAAAATTAATATTAGTCTATCTTTTTCATCTACTGATCTATTTTTGTCAAAAATCTTGATTGATTTTAGAGATACTAAAACATATTATCTCTGAACAGCTGGAACACAGAAAATAAAACTTAAAGATATGACAGATCAAATGTTGAAATATGTAGTTTCTGAATTTAAAATAACACGAGAACTTCTTAGAAATCAAAATTGTAGCCAGATAGCAATTATTTTCTCATTTTCAGTAGAATAGGAAGGAAGATAGGACCACCACCACATTATCACGTTTGCCAACTAAATAGAATATGATTTTGAGAAACTGCCTTTCCTAGTCTTCAGAAGAAATAGAAATACAGAGTAAGTACTAGAGGGAAGAGTCTGAAGAAAAATGAACATTGTCACTGATAAAATTGTATCTCTTTTTTATTATTAAACTCAACTACCTATGGTAAAAGACATGAATACTTAACACAAATAAGTGTCTTTTACTAGTTCCAAAAACATGGTCCAGGTGCAAAAATTATAAAGTTGCTTCCAGGGAGACACAATGAAAGGTGAAACTTCCATAAGGACCTGTAGGCAGTATACATTATTTTTAAAGCTAAAAGAATAATAGTATGAGGAGAAAAAAGAGAGTCTACCAAATTAACAATTTGAGGATTCACTGAGCAACAGGATAAAAATGGAATGTTTGGGATAGCCATTTAGTTAATTAAAATAAGTAGTTCAGGTAGAATAAACCAAAGCAGGGTTTGCGAAAGTCCCTCTGTTGCAGAATATCTGCAAATCTGCTTTGAGCATGGCATTAATGTGCAAGGTCTATAACCTTCCCACTCAAATGGGATGGGATGCTACCAGGCTCCTCAGACTAAAAAGCACTGGGCACAAACTCATGTGATGTCTTTTAACCAAGGATATTTCGATTTGTAAAATCCTTACACACCACAACAAAATGGGAAAACTTTAATTACAAAGACTTTTTAAAAAATTTTTAATCTTTTGCCTGGATAGGTAATTCATTTCAAGAAACAGCTGCGAGAATTAGAAGGGCTTATTTATTACTTTAATTTCTCCCAATTAAGAAGACCTAAGTTCTCATGCATAAACGGGAAAACAAATTCATTGCAAATTTTAAAGGAAAAATCATTGAGAGAAAAATGTTAAATAATACTTCAAGATGTTGTAACCTGCAAACTCCAGCAAACGTTATTTATTGAAATTCTACTTTAAAAATCCTCCACTAAAAAGTACTTATAATGTTCCATTATTATAGATATGTAGCCAAAATATGAAAAAATAATCAGAGATACTTTTTCAATTAAGGCTCTACGTAGTTCATAAATGGCAATAAATCTGTTAATTTAAAACGGTATCACTGGGATAAGGGTTTCTCAAACTCAAAGGCAATTTTCAGTGAGAATAACACTAAGGTGTAAATTTCATGGAAAAGAAATGATGTCAGACTTAAACCACATTAACTATGAAGAAGTAGACAGCTAATGTGTCACTATATATATAAAAAAGATGACTGTGGATGGGGTCAAGTGGGGAGGCAGACAGTGGCAACCTCTGGAAGATGGAATCTCTTCTCTCTGCTGGTCCTAGAAGAGAAAAGAGACACCAATAAGCATCAACACACTGTCCGAATTCCTCCCCACCCGAGACCCACCAGTCCACAGGTGTTTCTCAACCTTGGGGCCAACTTCACCTTCAGAGATGGTATTCAGCGTAAAGAGGGCATCAAAACCCCTGCCTTATCTTAACTTGCCTAGTATCTGTAAAAAATAAAAACTATTAAAATAGATTATTTATTTTTATAATTATAATCTGCATCTAGTGGGACTGAAACCAGCTGGGCTGAAATTAATAACTCTTACTGTGCATATGGATAATAGCTTTCCAAAACCTTTGCACTCAACTGTTTTAAATTATGAAAAGGTTGTTAAGTATAACTTAAAAGTTCTGAATTCTCCATGAGTTGGGGTATGTGTGTGTGTGTGCACGTGCACGTGTGTGTGTTTGTGTACGAAGCAAGTGGCTACAACCACATTTTGGGGTTGTAACTGTTATTTGTAATGACTTTCACTCAATGTATGCAGGTCATGGAGAAAATGGAAAGATAAGAGTTGTTTACAGTAAGCTGACAAAGGGAAATTAATCAAGTTGTACTATTTGAAACAGGTTATCCTCAACCTGAAAAGCAGCCCTAACACAACTGACATTCAGAGAATAATGATACAAACAAGTATTTAGAGTGACAGCAAATAATTCCCTCAATTCTTTCATACAAATAGAATTCTACAGAATCTGCTTTTCCTAGGGAGTAAAGCTAGCTGGTAGTTCCAAAGCAAGTGGCACATTCTTATGCACAGCACTACCGCTTACAAAACAACTCTGATTCACTGTTACGTTCTCACATATCCTCGTGGAAGACCTAGTCACTAGAAACTATATCCAAGCACATCCTATAGAAAGTAATTTTTAAATTCAGTTACTCAAGACTAAGATCTAAATGTACACAATAGGGAGTTAATTGATTTAAATTAAATAAACAGTATCTACGTTTCCATGTTACCAATCATTGTTTTGTTCTAGGGATTGTCCTGGGCACCGGGGGATACAAAAACTCGAGTGAGACAAAATCTTTGGACGTAAAACGGCAATGAAAGCGCATTTCTGGAAGCCTTGAAAGTTTAAAAACAGAGGCTCTTCTGGACTGACAGGCTCTGGGTCAAGAAAATATATTTTCATCTTGTTAAGATGGATTTTGCAAGTAAGACAAGTAAAGTAGAAGACAGAAGGGTGCGTATCCTTTTGTATTTTCATGGTTCTTACCAGCAACCAAGTCCAAAGAGATGTAATGAATGTAAGTCTCATCACTTTACAGAGGTTTAGGGAGAGCCATACATGAAAAGACTGAGAAATTGGGATTGGTCTCTGGTTTTGTGAAACCATACATAATTTAGAGTTGGAAAAGACCTTGACAAAACCATTAACAAAGGAATTCAGAAACGCAAACATTAGTAAGCCATCTGGACAACGCCTACTCCTTTACTTACGAAACACTACAATAAGCAACGTAAAAACAAATGTTTGACCAAGCAGACCACGTGTTTTTATGGTATCTTTTCTTAGTGCCTCAAATGTCTTCCTAAAACACTCAATTGCACCTGCTGCAAAGATGGAACGTTCTGGTGCCAGAGCCCAGAGCAGAGCACGTTTTCGCTCCCCAAGCGGAGGCAACTGCGACTCACCCGCGAGGCCGGCAAGGCCACCTCACAGCCAAGGCGCTCCTCCACCCAGCCCGCCGCGCGGCCGCCCACGAGCCTTCGGCCCCACGCGCGCGAGCGCCGCCCGCGCCCCCGCTGCCCTCGCACCGCCAGCGGCTCAGCACCCCGAGCCCGCAGCCCTCGTACCTCACACCGCTGCTCCGAAAGCCCCGGAACGCGCTCCTGGGCCCTCCCGGGGCTCTCACGGGGGGTGCTGTGCTCCGGCCCAGCGCCGGCACTCGGCCCAGGCGGCCGCGGAGCAACGAGAAGCCACGGGCCGGCACAGTCATGGCCGCGGATCCCCGGCTTCCGGACCGGGGCTCCACCTCCCGCGGCTCCAGTCCTCGCGGCTGGAGGCCCGGCTCCGCCCTCACCCGGCCTGGCGGGGCAGCGAGTAGCCCCTGCCAGCCAGGTTCCGGGAGGCACGCGCGGCGGGGTCAGGAGCGGATCCCAGGGCGGGGTGGGACTGAGCGGGCGCCGGGTCCTCAGGGGGCGGGGCCAGGACCCAAGCCCCCGCGCCCGCTGAGGTTGTGAAGGCTCTCCGTGTGGCCTGGCGGCTCGGCCCGCATCCAGCCGACACGCAGCTGGCATTCCCACAGCGAAGGCACAGAGAAGGCCTCCAAACTAATCACTTTAGGCTGCACGCCCCACTTTCCACCAAGCCGGAGATCCTGCCTAACAGTCTCCGAGACTACGTGGAATTGGATTTAAAGCAGGAAAGAAGTAATAGGTTCACTGTTTCCCACTCCGTTTGTGAGATTCCTTGGAAGCTGGAAAAAAAACAAAATGTGTGGAGAAGGAGCAGAACCTGGCTGAACATAGAAGGTCTGGACCTTAGGATTTCTATACTACTTTATCATCTTCGCTTTTGGAAGGGAATGCTGACCAATATCTGTCTTTTCCTGAGTTTATGATCAAGTCGATGCAGGTTAAGAACCCTGCATTGTGTGGTGGGTTTGTAGTGAAGAAGCAAAATATCTGCTCCATCTGACAAAGTAAAACATTAGATTGTCCATTCGTTGTGCAAATTAAAACAGACACACAAAAGACACAGTCACAGATAAAAACAGTTGCAAAGTTAACAGGAAACAACTTTTCTCTCAAGGTCAGGCTGCAGCTGCGTTGTTGAGTCAGAACCTCTTTCACAGCTGCACTTTTACTGAGAAAAACTTGTTTTTTTAAAATCATAGACTGTCAGAAAACTTGCTCTTTAAAATCATATCAATAAGAATGGGATACCCTACCTACTCTGGCCTGGCTGATCTAAATCCATTTGACACAAATAAGCAGCCTAAAAGAAAATATAGGGGGAAAAAAAAAAACCTTTGGTTTGGCAACGAGACTTTAGATACAACACCTAAATCACAATTCATAAAAGAAAACACAATGTAATCTTCTGCCATGCAAAAGACACTGTTAAGATAATAAACAAGTCACGTGTGGGAGAAAATATTTGCAAAACATTTTTCTTTGGACTTACATCCAAAATATACAAAGAACTCTTGAAACTCAACAATGGAAAAAAAGAAGAAGAAGAAGAAAGAACAAGCAACTCAGTTAAAAGTGAGCAAAAGTTCTGAAGAAACCCATCAAAGAAGATATACAGAGGTCAAAAATATGGGAAAATATTCAACACCATTTATCACTAAGGAAATACAAATTAAAACAACAATGAGATACCAATACACTCCTATTAGAACAGCTGAAGTCCAAGAAACTGATAATACCAAATGCTAGCAAGAATGTTTGGCAGCAGGAACTTTCATTCATTGTTGGTCAATAAAAAAATGGTTCAGTCACTTTGAAAGACAGATTGGCAGATTCTTACAAAGCTAAATATCATTTAACCATGTGATCCAGCAACCATGTTCCTATATATTTACCCAACCGATTTTAAAACATGTCTGCAATAAACCGTCATATGAATGTTTATAGCATCTTTATTCATATTCTCCAGAAACAAAGGTGTTCTTAAATAAGCAATAGATAAACAAATTTTGGAATATTTATACAATGGGATATTATTAATCAATGAAAAGGAGCAAGCTACCAAGCCATAAAAATACATGGATGAACCTTAAATAATACTGATAAAATGAAGGAAGCTAGTCTGAAAATGCTACATACTGTATGATTTTTATTATATGGCATTCTATAAGAAGCAAAATTATAGAGACAGTTAAAAGATCAGAAGGTTGACAGGTTCAGAAGACAGGGCAGAGGTTTGAATAGTGGAGCACATAAGAGTTTTAGGGCAGTGAAACTATTTTGTATGATACTGTCATGGTAGACAGATGACGCTACACATTTGTTAAAACTTAAAATTTCACAACACAAAGAGGGAAATAATGTAGGTCATATTAAAAATATTATTCGTATTGGAAAATTATGTTTTTTACAATGTTACCAGAATCAAGGCTCTGTTTGTTCCCCACAACACTTGCATAGAAAAATAAGATATTATTTTGTTTGTATGTTCTATATACAAACATTTTACACATTTTATCTAGATGTGTAAAAGTGTTTTTTTTTTAATCACATGGAATGGTTTTTCAATATTAAAAAGTGGAGGGAGTTTTGTTTAAACAAATATTTATAAAAGAAATATGTTCATCATCCTGGAAATTATTTGTGATAAGGAAATATTCTTTACTCCTGTTGCATTTCTCAGGCAATGAAGTAGTGCATCCATGCTATGTCCTATTTTGTCAGCAAAGATACTATTTACCCTTTACATTTTTTTATCATAATAGATTTAAAAACTCTAATGTTGTTCATTGCAGACATTCATTTGTTAACAGATTTGTTTCTTTTTAATGTTTTACCTAAAATTTGACATGCTTTCAGGACAGGTTTGCCTCTTACTTTATTTAACATTGTAGAAATGTAATTAATAGAGCCTCTTACTTTAACATTGTAGAAATGAAATAAACAATGCTCATTACTCAGTTTAGCATAGAAATTCTTTTATATTATCTTCCAAATTTGATCAGTTAGCAAAACTTAATTCACCAATAAAATATTTCTGCTATGATGAGGATGTTTACAATTTAAATTTTAGAACTTGTTCTGGATGTGATTATATGTACAAAAATCATTTAACATGCTCATGCTAAGAACCGACATAACAAAATTACTGAAATAAATGTGCTGTGAGGAATGGAAAAAATATATATTATTTAGCAGATTGGTGATTTTCGGAAGGAATGAAGGCTGTGACAAGAGAATCTACTGTATTACACATATATGAAACAATCTCACTGGAAAGGGTGGGGAAAAGGTGCTGACCTAAATAACTTTTGAATTGCAAGGGTAAAAGCCTAACAACAGAAGAAACTGCATACAGGAACTGTGCTGTAGTTAATAAAGTCATTGATTTACATTAACAATTCTGATATGGCTATACATGTATACTGGAATTAAACAGTTATTTAAATGGAAGTGGATGATAGGAGCCAGGTTCCTCATTTTTGGAGTGGCAATTTACAGATAAGCAATGGGAGGAGGCTAGAATAATCCATATGATAATGGATAAGTGTTGGGAACATCAGTTTTGGCTTAATATAAAAACAGATGGTTACATATAGAAATATTCATGGATGTTTGAATATTCAGGAATTAGTATACATACATATATTTATTTGCTTTGCCAGCTGAGAAGGCCTAAAAGAAACAACACCCAAAACCAATAAGCACATCTGCAGCCCAGATCTTGGTTTCTAATGTCATTCTACAATAACGGGAACCAGGACTCCTTGGAAAAATGGTGGATTCTAGGCTGTGGAAATAGATGATCCTAGAGCATCATGTAATTCTTGAAAGTAAGGAACTCAAATAAATCCCATATTGATGGGGATGTGTCAGGGACGGGAGCCAACTGAAAGGGTTCCTAATGTCCAAATCTGGAACAATTAGCAAAATAAAGTAGTGTTAGATTATAACCCAAAGTATAAAATGAATATCCATGAGCCCAGACTCATATAAATAAATGTTATTGAATAAATAAATAAATGGGGGAGAGAAGAAACATGATCCAGGATTCCTAAAATTTATGTAGATACTGAACTCTGAAGGAGAAGGAGTAGAATTCTTTACTTCTTAAATGGGAGCTGATCCTAGTGACTTCTTTTCAGAGATTTCAGTTTAGGAAATGGGACAAGAGAGTAACTTACCTATGGAGAAGTTTGACAAACACTACCTCAGACAGGTGATCAGGATTAACACCAATACATCATGCTGATAGCATGGAGACTTGATGCAATGTGATGAGAATTGTACTTTACCTCTGTAATCTTCCTGCAAAACCCATAACTCCAGTCTGATCGTGAGAAAAACAAATCTCAATAGAGGGACATCCCATGATATACCTGAAGAGCATGTCTCAAAACTGTAAAGACAATCAAAAACAAAGAAAGCCTAAGAAACTGTCATAACCAAGAAGAACCTAGGGAAACCTGACAACTAAATATAATGTGGTATTTTGGATTGGATCCTGGAACAGAAAAATGGCCTAACATAGAATTGAAGATCTGAATAAAGTATAAACTTTTGTTAATAGTAATTTATCAATAGTAATTCATTATACCATATAATGTAAGATGTTAATAATAGGAAAAACTAGATGTATAACATATGGGAAACTCAGTACTGTTTTCTCAATTTTTCTGTAAATTTAAAACCATTCTAAAAAATAAAGTCTATTTTTTAAAATGTCTATTTAGCCAGGGTAGGTATATATTAGAATCAGTACCAGGAGAGATTATTTAAAGATGGACTTTATCCAAGTTTTATTTATCGATCTATTTGTAGTCATTAATATATTTATTAATATTTCCTCCTGGACCAAAAAAGGTAAGTCTGATATATTTTTTCCTTTTTTAATTATCAATGTGCTTCTAAAACCTGCTCAACAAATATTGAATTCATTTTAATTGAATCAGAGATGGTTAAAAATTACAGAGAAAGAAAGCCAGTTGCTAATGTGGAATAAAAACTTTCTCCCATGATTATTTCAAGGGTTTCAATGAAAATGTTGAAAGTTGCTTTAAAAAGTACAATGCATTTTTATGCCACAGAGATATATGCTTTCAGGTAATTACAGTGTCCATGGCATTGCTTGGAGCATCTGATTTAAGAGGTTCCATTTATATTATCAGTTATCTTTTCACTATGTAACATTCATTGTTGTAACAAAATGTTTCAAAATGATTATCAGCATGTCCGCAGTTAGAACTGGCATCAAAACTACCAAAGTTGGAGTAGGTTGGTATTATTCTATCTACCACAACATACAACTCACTTGCAAATTGTGAAGCATAACAACAAGAACATTCCTGAGCCTACCGCCCAATGTAAGAATTAGAACCATTGATTGATATCAATGAATAAATCTATTTGCTTCTTCTATGTCCCAAATTTTTTATCAGAGGCAATCATCGTCTTGAATTTTGTAGTTTAATCCTTTTGATTTAAAAATAATTTAACCACAAATATATCTTTTAACAATATAATGCTTAGTCTTGCTTGGTTTTTGTTTTGTTATTTGAGCTTTAAAAAAATGATATTAAGCTGGATGCAGTCTTCAAGCACTTGCTTTTTCCGTTTTACTCTGTGTTTCCAAAACATATTTATTTTGTTGCTTGTAGCTACAATTCATTCATTTTTTTCTGCTAAATATAATTAAATTGGGGGCATTTATTTTTTCACCAGCCTATCAATAAATGTCTGAGTTTGTATAAGGCAGAATCTAGAAAGAAACAGAAACCACTGTAGGTACTTCAAATAAAGGAAATTTAACATAGGGATTTAATTAAGTAGATAATGGAAGAACTTAGAAGCCAAAAAGGATATAAAACAACCCAACAGCAGGAAACCACTAAAACGGCTACATCTGGAGAGACAGCCAGATCGAGCAAGAGGCGCTATCAGAATTGAGAAGATGAGACTCATGAGAGCTAGAATCATGGCAAAGGCTGCCTTGCACGACCTGGAACTATCTAAACAATGATTGATCAGAGGAAGCTACATCCACAAGGGAGACGGTAGAAAGATAAGAAGAAAAATAAACTGGGTTTCCCTTTCTCCCACCCTTCAATACTTTACTATTGTTTCCCATTTGTCAAACCTACTTAGAAACCAAAAACCAAAGGGACCTAAGAAATAGAGTCTTCTGGGATACAAGTTCAGCATGGAAACTGGACTAATGAGCTCAAATCTGTGTTTCCATGCTGCTACCAGCCTAGGCAAAAAGAGTAATATTTTTCTCAAAAAGTACATTTCTCTGGCTTCACTGTCACCAGCCATATGAAAACTCCATTCCACACTCAAATTCTAGCCAAGTGGTTTTGAAAGCTGTGAGGAATCAGTGCATATATGCTTTCCAAATCCTCTTGGTCACCATTAAGTGTCTATCATTTTTTTTGCATTATTTTCTGACTTACTGTGATACCTCTGTTGATGCTACTTCTTTTTTTTTTTTACTTGAAGAAGTCCTTAATGCTGGTAATATATAAGTAGTGTGGATATCTATACCAAAGACATCATCTCCTATCACCATCTTAACTCCTGACACGACACAAAAACTGTTAGAGCCAGTAACCCGTGCATTCATCCTCAATGATCATTGGTGATTTCAGACTAATATCTCTTTCAGGTATTGATACTTTCTAAATTTTCAAGACCTCTGTCATTGTTTGGAATATAAGGATTACTTGAGTGGCACAGGCTACCAAGAATCTACTAAGCATCTTTGCTAAGCATCAATGTTTTTATTTTTGTTCCACACTGACTCATTAGCCTTGAATAATAACTTGAACAAGCCTCTTGGCTCTCTCATTCTGCAGGACCATGTCCATGCTTCTAAAATTGGCCTGCACATAGGGGTTGCAGAAATGTGCAGGGAGGTACTTGGAGCCACGGAATAAGCATGTCTGTCATCTTGATACATCAGTTTCCCATAAGTGTCAGTTATTTCATAGTAAATATTTCAAAATATTAAACGTCTTAGTTTGTGCTGCTAAAACAAATTATGACAGGCTGGGTAGCTTAAACGACAAGCATTTATTTCTTAGAGTTCTAAAAGCTGAGAATCTGGTCAGGGTGCCAGCACAGTTAGCCTCTGGTGCGGGCCCTCTTCTAGATCACAGACTTCTGACTTCTGGTTGTATTCTCACATAGTGGAAAGAGGGCAAGCTAGCCCACTGGTCTGTTCTCAGAGGGAAACTAGTCCCATTTATGAGAGCTACACCCTCATAGCCTAATTACCTCCTAAAGGCCCCATTTCAAAATACTATTACATTAAGGATTAGAGATTAGATTTCAACATATAAATTTGAGGGGAACACAAATATTCAGCTCAAAACATTAAGTAAAAAATCAGTTTTAAAATGTGTAAAATTTGTGATATTTTAAAAGGTAAACATAAAACTTCAAGGAAACTTTGTAGAGCAGCTATGCTCTCCAATCAAACATTCTTAGCTAATGACGTCACTTCCTCACCCAGTTCTGCCTTTTGGGATATTGTGGTGAGTTTTTCCTACGAGAATCTTTGGTCTTTTATGCAGAGACTCCATGAATTTTAGACATAACTGAATTCTAAAGTGAGCCTAGTCAGAGACTCCTCCATTTACATATTTCATTTCACATCTAAGTTGATTTTTTTTTCATAATGAAAGCCGACACACATCATTTCACTACATATTTGTTTAGCTATGTAACTGCTTTCCTAATTAAGCTATAGTGGATGGGATAATCCCATAAAACACCTTTGTTTTTTTTCCCACTGTTCTCCAGGTTCTTTTTATGGGCAGTCTTATTCCCTTCTGCTCCGTGAAATCTTGAAAGTGTCCTAAAACTTCTTGGTCCCTTTTAGTTACAAGAACAATATTACTTCAAAAATTGTTATTTCTATTTTGTTGATGAGGAAACTAAAACACTAAAATGTTAGGTAATTTACTTGAGGTCAAGTGAGTGACAAGAGGGTAGAGCCAGAAATTTTGTGTCCAGAGTCAGTGCCTCCCAATGAATGAATGAGTGAATGGACTAAAGGAAGGGAGACCTTGGAGGCTTAGCAGACTGTTTTAGTAATCAAAATGAGAAACAGTAATGTCAGAACTACGGCTATGCCACTACGAATGGCAAGGAGGAGACAGATTAAATTCATTAAGGGGGTAAGAGCAGTAGAATCTAGTGACAGACTGAATGTGATAGCTCACATTGGGCAACAGGCCTGACTTTCTCTAGCATTCATATTTCAGCCGTAAAATATAACTTTTGCTTGGACTACTGCTTCATCTGTTATCTCTTGGTATCCTATGGATAATTATTTAGCTCTAGTCCTTTCTACATATAGTAATCAAACCACTGATTAAGCCAATTATCTTGATGCTTGTTGCACAACTTTGGCTTTCCTATAACATGTCATATTTCAGTTATTACCTACAGCACCAGTATACTACCCTAATAAGATGAGAAAATTTGTCACATAATGAAATTCTGTTTTCATCTTTGAAGTCAGGGCAAAAATAAGCTGCAGTAAATATATTCACAAACTATCAATAGCATAAAAATTTGGGAATATGAGTATTGTCATATTTGGTAATGTAATCTAACAATATGAATTTTAAAACCCACAAATACCTTCATGACTGATACAGTTTGGCTGTGTTCCCACTCAAATCTCATCTTGTAGTTCCCATAATCCCCATGTGTTGTGGGAGGGACCAGATGGAGCTAATTGAATCATGGGGGTGGTTTCCTCCTTGTAATAGTGAGTTAGCTTTCATGAGAGACTATGGTTTCATAAGGGACTTCCCCCTTCACTAGGCACTCATTCTTCCTCCTGCTGCCATGTGGAGAGGATGTTTTTGCTTCCCCTTCCGCCATGATTGTAAGTTTCCTGAGGCCTCCTTAGTTCTGCAGAACTGTGAGTCAATTAAACCTCTTTAATTTATAAATTACCCAGTCTCTGGTATGTCCTTATAGCATTGTGAGAATGGACTAATACGATGCCTTAAAGTATATTGCCTTTTTTGTAGTATAGCTTAAATAAATAATGCAAAACATAAAAAGGTGTGCACAAAGTGAAAAATGAGAAAATTGAAAATAATTTAAATACTAAAAATACAGGAGTATTTATGTGAATTTAGTTAATTACATAAAATTAAAAATAATAAAAGTACCAAAAATAATAGCAGTTTCTGTAGGTTTGTTTTATGCCAGACACTCTTCTCTGTGCTTTACATAGATTACTTCATTTTGTAAAATCTTTTCTTTTTTCCTTTTTTTGAGACAGGAGATCACTCTGTTGCCCAGGCTGGAGTGCAGTGGCACAATCATAGCTCACTACAGTCTTGTCTTGCCTGGGCTTTGGTGGCTCTCCCACCTCTG